TGGTGATGGGTCAAGTGATGGTGATGGGTCAAGTGATGGTGATGGGTCTTGTGATGAGTGTAGTGATGGTGATGGGCCTAGTGATGGTGATGAGTCTAATGATGGTGATGGTGATGGTGATGGGTATAGTGATGGTGGTGGTGATGGGTCTAGTGATGGTGATGGGAGTAGTGAGGTGATGGTGATGGGTATAGTGGTGGTGATGCTGTGTACTGATTGTAATGGTGATGGGTCTAGTGATGTTGATTGCTCTATTGGTGGTGATAAGTCTAGTGATGGTAATAGGTCTAATGATGGTGATGAGAGTAATGAGGTGATGGTAATGGAGTGTAGTGGGTTAATGGGATAATATCCTTTCACACAAGTTATCCCCAATAAGGTTAAATTCCTTCACAATTTACCCATAGAAGAGGAAAATTTGGCGGCTTTTACGCTATTGAAGTAAATTCCTTTGTATTTGCCCCAAGCCGCTAATTTTTAACTAATACTTTGATTGTTTTTTTTGCGCTCGTGTTCGAAGCTGTACCGAAAACAAGTCCGATATTGCAGCGCCTTCTATGGGTAGAGAAACAGTTAGGAGACTCAATCCTGGAGTTCAGAGACTCTTTCCAGCAGTTCTGCTTCTTTTCAGAACAATTCAACCTCGTTACAACGTTTCAAAGCCTCATTCCAGCAGATCTTAAGTCTATTCCCAGCTACTCAAAGCCTCATTCCAGCAATTTAAAGCGTTATTCCAGCAGTTTTGAGACTCGTTCCAGCCACACAAACACGCATTCCAGCCTTTCGAACAAGGTCTAGAATGGCTGTCATTCATACCCTCACGTATATATATATATATATATATATATATATATATATATATATATATATATATATATATATATATATATATATATATATATATATATATATATATATATATATATATATATATATATATAACTGTATCCGACAGAATAACAACATATACACACGACTCATTATTATTAAGGGGAGCTGACTGCCTGATTGACTACCCTGTGTTGATGTGGGTCCCTGTTCCTCTCCTAATGCAGCCTTTTTGTGTGAAATCATTTGACAATAAATCTTTGTATTTATTACTTTTGTATCATTTGTATTTTCTTCATGCATAGAGATCTTGACGAAATGGTGAAATAAATATGAAGAAATGGTGAAGAAAGGGTAAAAAAAAGTGGAGGAATGATGGAGAAAGAATAAAGAATGGTTAAGAAAATGGTGGAAGAATGGTTGAGAAGTGCTGAAAAAAGGTGAAAGAATGGTAAAGAGAGGGAGAAGAAACAAGGGTGATTTGTTAATATATGTAGATCCACAGACAGTAAAAAAATATGTTCGTTTAATACTGTCCATCACTATATACACTGAAAAATACATGTATGTACATACACACACATACATATACAAATACAGTCCTGTATAATATATATATATATATATATATATATATATACACAATCAACACCTCAACCCGCCAGGATTCGAACCCACGGCGCACGAGCCCAATAAGCACGCGGACTACTACACATAATCAACACCTCACCCCACCAAGATTCGAACCCACGATCTTATAATTGTGACCGAGGAACGCTACCTCTGGGCCACCAGGACACTAAAAGCAGTCCTAGACTCTGTTATATTTCACACAAAGCCTGTTCAATGAGCTTATGGCGCCGTGAACCTCTAATGGGGACCACCCATGCCGATTTGGTGATCAGAGCAACGTTTTACCAAATCTGGCTTCGAAACACGAGGATCCATATATATTTCATTTGCCCAATAAAGCACGCGGATTTCTACATATAATCAACACCTCACCCCACCAGGATTCGAACCCACGATCTTATAATTGTGACCGGGGAACGCTACCTCTGGGCTACCAGGACACTAAAAGCAGTCCTAGACTCTGTTATATTTCACACAAAGCCTGTTCAACGAGCTTATGGCGCCGTGAACCTCTAATGGGGACCA